AGCCACTGATGTCAGAGCCAGGACACAGCTCAGGAGTCTCCCCTGAGGCTTCCTCTCTGCTTATTTCCCTGCAGCCTGACCCAGGGGACACTTGGCTTCAACTGGCAACTCGATTTAGCCAAATTCAAGACAGGCCACCAGGGCTCTTTCTCCTCACACACTGGTCCCACCCCAGGTGCAGTCAGGCAGGGCCAGTCACAGAGGAGCCTAGAGCAGAGCAGGGAGCAGAGTCTGAGCTGCTCCTCCCTCATCCAAGGGGCTTCCTCCTCTCATTTGGGGTAAAAGTATGAGCTTGTTTCAAGGCCTCAGATGTTTCTTGAAGCTCATGCAGTAGGTAAAAGAAAATAAAGACGTGACAGAAAGGGATATGTTGGCGACAGCGAGAAGCAACTGATCTTGAGGACTCTCCTTCTTGTCCCTCTGTGAAGCCTCTTCCACCACACAGGGCTCAGGGCTGACAAAGCCCCCTCCCTACGTTGCTCAGGCTGGACACAAGGTCAGTCATGAGAAATCAGAAAAACAAGGAAAACAGAGTCCGTAGAGATAAATTAGGAGGGTTCAGGAGGAGAAATTAGGATTTGCTTGTGCCTGCGGGACACAGGCTGGGAATAAAAATGTTTTCCTGACTTTCTCTGAAAGCCAGATAGACTCCATCTAAAAACCTACTGCCAGTGATGCCGGGATTCACTTACCAACGACTTTGATCTTCTTGAATGCGAAGGTTCTTTTGCCAGTGACTGAGTTATAAGCAAAACAAACATAGAGCCCAGTATTCTTTGTAGTGATTTGGGGGATAGAGACCTCTTTTCCTGGTGGCAGAAATGTCCCATTAACCATCCAACGATACTCTGCCGGTGGGTTAGAGTCCGCGAAGCAGGAGAGGTGGAGGTTTTCTCCTTGATGGTAAAGGGTATCTGAAGGAGAAATGCTGGGGAAGTCTGGACCATCTGGAGCAAAGAGAATAAAGCCACAGTAATGTCCTCTGAGGGAAGGGGATGGTCCTGGTCAGTTAAAGGGATACATTGTTCCTCTGAGCCAAGACACACCCTGAAGTCCCAGCCAAAACCCCTCTGTGTTCACTGAGCCGAAGCCTGAAGTATTCACCTGTTTCTCCCATCACAAGCTGTGGACCCCAAGTCTCCCATGACAAGAGCATCCCTCCCCCTATATTCTTGATCAAGACTGTGCCCACCCGGTTTCCCAGGGCAAGAAGTCATGGGCAGCTCGGGTGTCCAGAAGTAGGGGTGTCATACTTGAACCTGAGAGAGACTGAGAGTCCTGGCCTCTGGCTGTTTGGATTTTAGCTGGTGGCCTGGCCCACAGAGTAACAAAAGATACTCACAGGAGACCCTTAGGGTGACTGAGTCACTGCGGAAGACTTCCATTGAGGTCCGTATTTCACATTCATAGGATCCTGTGTGATTTCTTGTGACACTGTGTAGAGTGAGGGTCCTGTAATCATGAGACAGCCGTACGCTGGGACTCAACTGGAGGCTCTCACCATTTACCAACCACAGGTAGGTGGCATTTCCAATTTCAAGTTCACAGGTTAAGGTTATATCATCCTCATGTTCCACGGCGTTATATTTGTTGCTGGTGATGGCGACTCTGGGCAACTCCGCTGTGGAGATAACAGAAGATTGCCCTGTGTGGCATCTTTGATTCCTCCACAGGCATCTTGCAGTCAGAGTTGCATCTCCCACCTCTCAGCCCACCCAAGTCCTTGAAAGCCAGTGGCTGGTATGTGTGTCACAAGACAGATGTACGATGATCTAAGGAATCCAGGACTGTGAGGCCACCTGCTCTGTCTTAGGGAAGCACAGGCTTTCTCAGCTGTGAATTGAGCAGCAGTGATGGGTCATGAACAGACATGTGGGTGGGAGTCACAGCCCCTGGTGCCCCTCCCAGTCCTTCCCTAATCAGCTGACTGGCTGGCCCACCTTGGGTTCCTTACCTGGAATGTGCAACTGCTGGGTCTCTTCTAAATTCCATCCTACTTTGCCCCCTTAGATGTATTTTCTCTGCAGCTTCCCTTTCCAAGGACATTCTAGAGATGAGTAATAATGGGACTTCCCATTGTCCTGAAACTCTGAAGGTACTAAGCAGCCTGGCCTAGGACTGGATGTTTCAGGAGAAATAACCCAGTGGGGACCAGAGTCAAGCCTGGAGGTCAGCTCAGCCATCAGGCAGTGGAGGCGCAAGGTGGGGCAGTTTTCCCCAGATGTTTCAGAGTGACTGACTTGAGCCAGTGACCTCTAAAGATAGAGCAGAATCCATGCTAGAATGACCTAGAAAGAGCGAAGGGGACAGGCTAGAGCTGGTGGCTTTGGAGCAGAACCATGTTCCCTGTCCTGGGTTCTTGAAGTTTCCTCTCCTTCTGCAGAGGGCAGGTGAGGACCATGGAAATCTTTCTAGCAGTACACGTGGACATTTGCAAATGCAGAACTGACTGGTGGAAATGGGGAGCATGAACTGCTGGAAATCTGGTCCTCACGGACCATGTGTGTTTGATGGATATGAGATACAAATTTGGGAAGAAGTTTTGCAAATATTTTCTTTCATTGGATATTCTACTCTGATTCCATGGGTTTGCCTACTCTAGGGACCTCATGTAAGTGGATTCCAGAGTGAATCAGAGGAGAGACTGCTGGTTGCCAGGAGCTGGTAGTGGGGAGAATAGGGAATTATTCATTGGTGTACAGTGTCAGTTATGGGAGATGGGGAGGCTCTAGAGGTCTGCTGTACAGCTTGATGCCCATAGTTCACACAGATTGAGTATTTCTTATGCATAAGACTTAGGATGAAAAGGGTTTTGTATTTCTGACATTTTTTGATTCTGAAATATTTGCCATATACTTACTGATTGCATCCCAAATCTGAAAGATTCAAATTCCAAAATGCTCCAGTGAGCATTTCTTTTCAGCATCAGATTAGTAGGCAAAAGTGGGAGGTGACAAGTCAGATAGATTCCTGCCTTCTTTTTTTCCTCACCACGTTTCTAGCTTGGTGATTAGTCTTTGGTGAATTCCACACTGACCATGCTGCACTCGTATGTTTTTGAATGCTTTGAGATGTGAGAAGGGCTGGTTGTTATTTTCTGTGTCATCAGAACTTTCCACCTTATCATGGGTGCTTCTTTCTCTAAGTTTCTTTGTTGTGGAAGTCATTAATAAGAGCTTCTCAGGTCAGATTTAGGACAGATTTTTGTAATTCTGCAAAAAGTGTTACTGGGATTCTGGTAGGGGTTGGGTTGAAGCTGCAGCTTACTTTGGGTAGTACTGTCTTCCTAAGAATATTGAGTCTTCAAGTCCATACAAATGAAATGTCTTTCTATTTATTGATGTCATCTTTAATTTCTTTCAGCAATGTTTTGTAGTTTTCAGAGTAGAATCCCTTGACCTTTCTGGTTAAAGTTATTTCAAAATATTTTATTCTTTTTGATGTTAATGTCAATTGAAATTGTTTTCTTAATTTCCTTTCAGATTGTTCATTGTTAGTGTATAGTCTAAAGAATCATCTAGTAAGAGCAAAATGGACAGGCAAAAGCTGGTGGCTTTGGAGTAGAAACATTCCCTGTCATGGGTGTTTGATGTCCCCTCTCCCTTTGCAGAGGGCAGGTGGCTCTTTCCTGATATCCAGATAGACCTCACTGGGAAACATCGCCAGTGCTCTAGGGATCCACTTACCAGGGACTATGATCCTCTTTTTCTTTTGCCAGTGTCTGAGTTATGGATGACACAGTTATAGACCCCTCTGTATGTTTTAGTGATTTTGGGGATAAAGAACACTTGTGCTGATTGCTGGAACTTCCCATCAGTCAGCCAAGAATGCTCTTCCAGTAGGTGAGAGTCTGTGAGGCAGGAGACCTTGGGGATTTCCCCAGAATGGTAATAGCTGTATGAAGAAGAAATGGTAGGGGCACCCAGGCCATCTGGAGCAAAGAGAATAAAGCCACAGGTAATATTGTCAGGGGGAAGGGGAAGCTCCTGCTCTGTGGAAGGGCCACAGTGACCCTGTGAACCAAGTCACAACACGGAAGTCCCAGGCAAACCCCTGCCGTGTTCACTGATCTGGAGCCTGAGACACTCACCTGTTTCTTTCATCACAAGCTGTGGACCCTGAGCCTCCCATGATAGGAGCAGCCCCTTTCTTCCTATTGTTGATTGAGGCTAGGCCTACTCTGGTTTGCCCAGGGCAGAAAATCATGGCCAGCTTCGATGTCCAGGGATAAAGGTCTCTGTACTTGGACCTGAGAGGCCTGGCCACCGGCCATGTGTATCTGGGATGGAAGCCTGGGCCCACAGAGGAACAGAAGATACTCACGAAGGACATTCAGGATGACTGGATCACTGCGGCTAGCACTCACTGGATTCTTCACTTCGCATTCATAGGATCCTGTATCATTCTCCGTGACACTGAATAGAATGAGGGTTCTGTTGTGATTGGACAGCTCCCACGTGCTATTGATTCGGAGGCTCTGACCATTTACCCACCACAGGTAGCTTGCTTCCTTAATCTCAGGTTCATAGTTTAAGATCACAGTTTCAGTCTTCCTGGGGTTTGAGTTGCTGCAGGCGATGGAGGGCTTCGGAGTCTCCACTGTGTAGATAACAGAGAGATTACCCTTTGTGGCACCTTTAATTCCTACAAAGGCATTTTTCAGTGAGAGTTGGCATCTCCCACCTCTCAGCCTACTGAAGTCCTTAAAAACCCATGGCAGGTGTGTGTGTGTTATAAGACAGATGCACGACAATCTGAGGGCTCAGAGGTAGTGAGGCTGCCTGCTTTATGTGGGAGAAGTACAGACTTTCTCAAGTGTGAATGGAACAGCTCTGTTGGGTCATGGAAAGACACAGGACCAAGAGTCACAGCTCCTGGTGCCTCTCTGAGTCCCTCCCTCTCCAGCTGCCTGCCTGGCGCACCTTGTGGTCCTCACCTAGAACATGCAGCTGCTGGATTCTTTTCAGTTTCAGTTTTACTTCCCCCCCACCCCCGGTATGTTTTCTCTGCAGCTTCTCTCTCCAAGGACATCCTAGAGATGGGTGATGATGGAACTTACCATTGTCCTTTGGGTATCCTGTGGGTACTGGGCAGCCTGGCCTGGGACTGGGTACTTCAGCAGAAGTAACACAGGGGAGGCCAGGGCAAGCCTGGAGGTCAGTTCAGCCATCAGGCAGTGGAGGCACAAGGTGGGGCAGTTTCCCCAGGGCTTTTGCAGTGACTGACTTGAGCCAGTGACTCTAAAGATAGAGCAGAGTCCAAGGAATGATCTAGAAAGAGTGAAGGGTCAGGCAAGAGCTGGTAGCTTTGGAGAAAGACCATGTTCCCTGTTCTGGGTCCATGATACTCTCTTTCCCCTTGTAGAGGGAAGGTGAGGACCATGTGGATCTTTCTAGAAATACATGTGGATGTTTGCAAATGCAGAACTGACTGGTGGAAAGGGGGAGCATGAACCGCTGGAAATCTGAACCTCATGGATCATATGTGTTTCGACATAAGACCAAAATTTGGGAAGAAGTCTTGCAGATACTTGTAGAATACTATAATGACTTGTAGAATGTCATTAGACATTCTACTCTGTGATTCCATGATTGTGACTACTCTATGGACCTCATATTAGTGGATTCCAGAGTGAGTCACAGAATAGAATGGTAGTTGCCAGGAGCTCGGGTCAGGGGAATAGGGCATTGTTCAATGAGTGTGCAGTTTCAGTTATGCAGGATGAGGAGGTTCTAGAGATATGCTGTACAGCTTCATGCCTATAGTTTATATGAATAAAGTATTCCTTATGCAGAAAGCCTAAAAACAGAAGTGTTTTGGATTTCTAACTTGGTTTGATTTTGGAATATTTGCAGTGTACTTACTGGTTTAGCATCCAAAATCTGAAAAAGTTGAAATCCAAAATGCTCCAGTTAGCACTTCTTTTTCATATCACAGAAGTAGTCAGAAGTATTGGATTTGGGGGCATTTCAGATTTTGGATGCTCAATTTGAAATACTGTAAAAAGTTGTGAGGAGTTCAGACCTCATGTTATGCTCTGACTCTAGTAACAAAAAATATTTGGTGGCAACATGAAAATTTTTTCATAAGTGGAAATTTTTATTGATGGTCCAAACATCTAAGATCAATTGCTGGCAGTAGTATTTCTCCTGATACCAAAATAAGGTTTAGGTGTGTTGTGGATTCCAGCAGGATCACACTATGCTCAAAGGAAGAAGCCGAAGGTGAGTTGAAATGAGCCACTCCCTAAATAGAGAGTCCCAATAAAAGGACAGAACTGGTGAGAGAGAGAGTCTTAGGTGTGTCAATTACATAAAGGGAGGAATGATGCCAAATTAAGAGAAGTGATGTGTGTTATGTTAGTAAATATAGAAAGAGCTCTCTGCTTCTCATTTCTGTGCAGAGTTAGGAAAAATGGGGAGGAGCCCAAAACAGGTATGTGAAATGCATTCTTCATTTTCTCTTAACCTCAGGAAACACAACTAGAGTTTAAGTTCATGTTAATCAGGAAGAGTCTAAGTGAGATGCCAGTGGCTCATGTGTCTCTCCACATGAAGAACCCCAACTTATGAAAATGGCATCATCATGAGGAAACAGGTGTATGTGGAACAGACAGTAAAACCATCAGATAGCACCCACCTGGCTACCTCCAACTGGTCCCCCAAACCACCGGTATTCCCATTACATGTATGTTACAGACTTTGTAGTTGACCCACAACTATGAACTTTAAAAATTGCTATTTTCAGTACAAAATATTAAACATGTAGTTGAATATGTTGTTCTGCTTTCTTTTCCACCCTTTTTGAACTTTCCTGTTTCAGTTTTGGACGTTTCTATTGACTCATCCTCCAGCTAGGGATTCTTTCTTCAGCTGTGTCCAGTCTATCAGTAAGCCCATTAAAGGCATTTTTCATTTCTCTAACAGTATTTTTTATCTCTAGCATTTCTGTTGATTCTTTCTTAGAATATTCATCTCTCTGCTTACATAATTCATCTGTTCCTGCATGGTGTCTACTTTTTAAATTATAACCCTTAACCACATTTCTTTTAAATTCGCAATGTGGGCTGGGTGCAGTGGCTCACATCTGTAATCCCAGCACTTTGGGAGACCGAGGCAGGCAGATTCCCCAAGGTTGGGAGTTTGAGACCAACTTGACCAACATGGAGAAACATATCTCTACTAAAAATACAAAATTAGCCAGGCATGGTGGCATGAGCCTGTAATCCCAGCTACTCAGGAGGCTGAGGCAGAAGAATCGCTTGAACCTAGGAGGTTCAATGATTCAGTGGTTCAGAGGTTGCAGTGAGCTGAGTCGTGCCACTGCACTCCAGCCCGGGCAACAAGAGCAAAAACTCCATCTCAAAAAAAAAAAAATTCCCAGTCTGATAATTTCAACACATCTGTCACATCTGTGTTTTGTTCTGATCCTTACTCTGTCTTTCAAATTGCATATATGTGTGTGTGTGTATATATATATATATATAGACACACACATTTTTTTGTTATAGTCTGTCTTGTATGATGTGTGGAAAGTCAGACATGATGTACTGGGTAAAGGGACTTGAGAGAGCAGGCATTCAGTGATGTGGTGGTGAGTGTGGAGAGGGAAGGGTTCTGTGGTCCTGGATGAGGTCCGTGTCCTGGGCTGTGAATGTCACAAGTGCCCCTGGGCTGTGAACGTCACAAGGGGCACTTGTGATGTTTACAGTCCAGGACACAGCCCAGGACATAGCCTAGGACACAAAAACCTGAAGCTTCTAAGGTTTTTGCTCATTTGAGGTGAGACATAATGGCTAGAGGAATTTGGAGTTGGATATTTTCTCTCCTCCAGGCCATTTAGGCTTTGACAAAACCCTAGCTGATTAGGCTGTGGTAAAATAGTTTCTCTTAAAGGCAGGTCTTATTAAGAAGAATAGAATTCACTAGCATATCTTCAAGTTGTTCCTTTACCCTCCCCCCACAGAAAGGATGAGGAGATTTTAGTGAATATTCACTGCAAAACCCTGGTAGAGCTCCAGAAGCTAAGAGTCACAAAAAGTGCCCCTGTTGTCAAAAGTGGTTCATCCCCTTGAGTGTTTCCCTCTGGGTCTTGTCTGCACTGATTCTTTGGCAACTCACCAGTCACAGTTCAGGTTCTCTGTCCCCAGCCCTGGTTCCCACTGGGGTTTCTGTGCCTGGGTTTCTGCTCAGATGAGGTTGCTGATCTGTCTTTGCCTGTCACTCTCTCCAATATGTGGGTCAGTTGGCACTGAGACCTCACATCTCTGAGGGATTTTGAGGAGTTGTTGATTTTTGAGTTTGTTCAGCATTTTACTTGCTGTGAGAACTGAATGATGACTCTCTAGCTTGTTATACGCCTGACAGGAAACCAAAAGCCTCTAGGAAGCGACTGGAGAATGGGAGCTCCACAGCAGGTTGAGGACGGAATCACAAGGGACATGGGTGAAATGAGCCCATGGGTTTTGGGGACTGCAGGCTTGTCCAGCCTGTGACACCCTGGTGAGTCAGTGCAAAGATGACAACAGTGAGAGCAAACTAGATGGCCGACTCCATCCGGTGTCTAGCCTCAGGCTGGCTGTCCTCACTCATTCCTAGGCATAGGCCAGGCTAACCATGGGCGGCATTTAGTTTATGGTTTAACTTTGAAGCAAGAGTGATAATAGTTCCTCCGTGAAACGAATTCCCTTAGTGCCCAGGGACTGCCTTTGTAAGACTAATGAAAGATCATGGGATTAAGATTATGGGAGCAGCCTGAATTCTGCTAAAATGTAGGCACAGTCTATACTCCCTTACTGTTCCAATGTCATTAGGCCGGAGTTTACAAAATGTGTGACTAATTGCTCCTATAGGTAACATCACTATTGCAGAACCTGAGATTGGTCTTTTGAGATTTTTCTCAGATTTTGCATTCTGGCCACCAGCTGACGTCATCTGTACCCATGACTAATGGCTCATCCCGTCAAGTGGTACCCACCTAGAGGCAGGTTCCACAAAGACAGATCATTTCCCCTCACCTGCATGATTTCATCCCCAAACAATTAGCAGGACTTATTTTTCAGTCCTGTGTCCCTGAAACTCCTTGAAAATCTCTCTTTTTTTTTTTTTTTTTTGAGTTGGAGTCTTGCTCTGGCACTCAGACTGGAGTGCAGTGGTGCAATCTTCACTCACTGCAACCTCCGCCTCCTGGATTCAAGTGATTCTCCTGCCTCATCCTCCTGAGTATCTGGGACTAAAGGCATGTGCTACCATGCCTGGCTAATTTTTTTTGTAGAGACAGGGTTTCACCATGTTAGCCAGGATGGTCTCGATCTCCTGACCTTGTGATCCACCCGCCTCAGCCTCCCAAAGTGCTGGAATTACAGGCATGAGCCACTGCGCCTGGCCAACTCCTTGAAAATCTCTAACTTTTGATCTACTGGGGAGGCTGATTTGAGAAATAATAAACCTGTGTCCTCCTGTTTGGCAGATTTGGATTAATTAAAATCTTTCTTTACTGCAAATCACTATCTCTATAAATTGGTATTGTTTGTGCAAGAGGTCAGAAGAACTTGTCTGGCAATTATTGGAGTGGATGGAGGTGCTGCCATCCCTGTCCCATGGTCTTTTCCACAGGTCTGCCTCACACAGGGAAAGAGCCCTGGA